TAAAAAGGTATTTTAGTTATCTTGCTGTACAGCATATTCTGGTGAAAAAAAATACATCGCAAAAATTGCTGCATGTCTAATCTGAAACAACAGAAAATGAACCTACTGGATAAATGTGTCGATCAGCCTAGATGTTCACGCGAACATAGCGACAGAAAGTTTTAGTCTTGATAAATGAAGTGTACTTATAAAGAGAAGGTAAAGCTCGGATAGGCTATATTCACCCCTTAACGCTCCTGCGCATGTCAGAAGGTCACACTGTTCCTGTCCGCTGCGGATAGTACGGGTGTCAACTTCGTCTGCACGCAAGATATATAGCACAGACACTTACAAATGATACGGGCAAAGATAAGTAGAAGTTAATTGACCAACGTCTCAAACAGTGAATTGAATTATACAAATCGATCACAAGCATAAGTTCGTCAAATGGATTAAGTTTTGAATTTTAAAAAATCAGATTGTAAACGGCTTGAAAAGCATAAAGCTTAAACAATAAACAACTTGAATACGAAAGTTTTATAGTTACCCACATGTTCATAGTGTGTTCAGGTTTAAGAGAAAGGATCATCTATCTTGGAATGAATTGTCCACACATGAGATTATATGTTTTTTTACAATTAAATAGAAATGAAATAATAGCAATTGCTTGTGTATTTGAATGCCCTATCAACAGTATCATAGTGAAGTCGGCTTCACTGGTACCTTGGGTGATACATGTAACTATATCGAGTTCAGGAGTGTGCTGGTTCGGTAACACATGTCTCAAAACAAAGGATCAGTGGTTTGAGACTGGTTACAACAATACGTTTTTATTATATACACGTTACACTGTAAAGCCAGGAGTCAGTTAAGTCGATTTCATTGAATTATTATGACAACGATTGTCAAATAAAACACCATAGAAACCATAAAAAGCAAACAATATAAAGAAGAACTGAACGGCCTTTTTGTAATTGGTATGCAGATATGAACACCAGTAAATACCAAATGTCAATTACCTGTATTGATACCAATTACAGAAATGTTGTCAAATTCGTATACTTATATTCGAAAAACATTAAGTGTGTACTGTGAGCGTATCGTCGAATGTAACAATCTAAGTCCCTTGAACAATTCGCTCTCAAAGGACTGCCAGGCGTCACATTGACAAATCTAAAAATAGTAGCATAACCAAATCATGACGCATCACTTACGTTCAATGAGCGTGATTTCCTTTATAATTTGTGAGCATGCCAACGTGAAAGAAGAACTAAGTATTGAAACAGGAGCAGCGGTAAATTTAATTTATGCATTCCCAAGTAAGAAGACACATGAGTAAGACTTCTATAAGGACCAATATTACTACCGAAAAAACTGATTTCTCATAAGCCTTCAAAGATTTGGTGCATAATATAAAACGCTATACAAATTTCAGAAACACACTTGATGAAGTTTTTCTTTTCGATGGAACTGACGTTATTCCATAGAACTGTGTTCATGGTCAAATGCAAATATTCTCTGCTCAACCTCAAAATAAAATTGAAATAAATGTGTATAAAAGACATGTGGAAAAACGTTGTGGAACTTAGCCAAGATTTAGCTGACCATCATTCGCATGTTTATTGTTTTTCGTCTCGCACAAGATTTCGGTGAGTTTGCGCAAATAGCTTGAGTTTAAACTTGATAACTTTTTTAAAATTAATACGGGACTAGATCTATTGGGGATTGTAACCGCCAAAATAGAGAAGTCGCCTTATTAGTCATGATTTACGTGATAATAGCTTGACTATACATTTGGTATAGGCCGATTTGGTCGCACTTACCACGACAACACCTAAAATAATAATAATAATAATAATAATATACAACATTTATATAGCGCCCTATATAATTTGTAAAACTATTCTAAAGCGCTTCACAACATATGGATAATAGTATTAGTTATAATTGTGAAACAAACACAAAGGTTTACAATCACGTAAAATAGATGGTAGCTGCATGACACCATACATATTACAGTGTAAAATCATCGTAAAATGATTTAGTGATTCCTGTTTTATGAAAAAATACACATTTGGAATATAAAAATATCAAATTAAAGTCTTGAAAATAAAAACAACATTTTTACATACTTCAGAAGAACGCGCTCGTGGGAACACCACAGCACTATATACAGACAGGTGGCCACGGGGCTGTTAAGGAACACATGCTGCTGGTGTTGCTCTCGTTCGACATTGTACTGTAATCTGATTGTGAAACTGGCTTGAAATTCAAGGCTGAGATTACAATCAAACCAACTGATATAATAACTTCTCTCATTTTCATATTACAGGAAAGTGAACACGATGTTATGTTAATAACTTCTCGTCTTCAAAATCCATACTTCCATGTATTTATCTAAATAACGTACGTGTTTTCTATTTATAAATGAATCTGCGGTGCATTAATTTTGCAGTTAACAATATTCTAGCCGGTTAAAATCAACATATGAGTTGTTTAAACTAAAATATAAATATTTAACCGGGAATGGTTATGAGGACAATGCTGGGTATATACATCAGGAATTACCATGACTTTTTGTTATCCCCTATGTCAAAAAGGATGAGTTTACAATTCTTAAAGACACCAGCGAAGGTTGCAGCGGCTACTGTGAATGGTCATCGTCGGATACCCACGGGTGATTTCGCTTCGGTACTCACTCATCACGTCATCGGTGATGAGTGAGTACCGAAGCGAAATCAACCGTTGGTATCCGACGATGGTGAATGGTGTACTTTAAAGCTTCTAGTTCTCATAGAGATCTAATTTCTAGAAGTTTGAGTTGTCAGTATATATTCTGAATAAAAATGCAGTGAAATATTTGTTCTGTACATCACAAAGACCGACTTAGACGATATACAAATGTATATCTGCAAATTATATTTTTGTGTTAACCGCCAAAAATATAAACCCAACGCCAAAATAAAATAAATAGCATGTTATTGTTTAAACAAATCGTACCGAGGAAACTTAACGTGATATATATGCTCTTTCAAACAATCTTGCGCCAAAACAGGAAATCACGGCGTGAACGCTTTTTGCTGTTTCTCTCGTTAGTCAGACTCCAAAATGTCTTTCCATGCGTAGGATTATCTCCATAGCAAAATTGATTAGAGTTTTGTTGTGTGAATAAAACGACAATTGTTTATGCTTAGATTTTAATTGTTCCCAGTGGAGCACATGCATTTTAAATAATTGAAAGTAAAGGATCCTTTTTCTGTTTGCCGTCCGCCCACGAGGAAGTAGAAACAAATTGCTTCCCTTCTAAGAGGTAAACATTTGTACGTTTATTTTGCATGACACTGATTTAAAAACTTCAAATTTTATATATATCGGAACACCAACGATGACAATTAATTGTTTGACAGCCTCAGCAAGTATTTAATGTTTAACATTCTTGTTGATAAGAAGATAACTAGTAAGTTCTGTTCAGTAAAACACACGAGAAAAACTATGATTCAGATCGAATCGCAAACCGTAACTTTCGAAAGCGCAAAGTTATGATAATCAATACTGACAAATATACCTATTTTTGCAGTAATATATGATAATAAACATGTACCTTTCTTAAGGTAAATATAGGTATTTGCTGACTCTTGAAAGATGATATTCCACTTGTGACGGTGATTTTAGACGATGATACATGCAAATTATCGGAAGGTGTTTTGAACTTCTTGCGCGGTTGTTCGGAGTTGCAGGTCAATATTGCGTATTCGCAAGAAAAAAACCTCTGAGAGCGGTGTTGGCCAATCGGAACAAAACAAGAACGGAAGTGTTTATTTTCTTTAAATTTCATTTTCATGTATTATGTGAAAATATTAGTGCCTTGTACTTATAAATGTTATGTTGTAGACTCGAGAAGAAACGGGAATAATTCAACATCTCATATTTAAGTTATCAAAATACTCTGTAGTATAAAAAACGACCAATCGTTTTCTCACCTGACTCCCTATATAAATACTAACAACTTTGACTGTTCCCCAGGAACAATTTAAGGATCAACAGTTAAAAATATAAACCGGACAATAGTTTTGACTAGTGTCCGGCAAACTAGTTCGCGGACAGTGGCGGCAACAAATCAGATTTACCAGTCAATAGCCTGTCAGTCGGCGCTCAATGATACGGATACTATCAGAAAGCGTTTATTTTTCTTTGCTCAGGTAACAAATCTGTATTGTCTTAACAATCAATAATCTGAACTAGTTTCTGGTATTTACTTACATGTGTATGACGTAACATTTGTTACCCAAGTCCGCGGGTATATCGTTATGACGTCACATTCGTTGACCCGCCCAGGGGTAATTAGTTATCACGTCATTCAATACCCAAGCTCTCAAGTATTTAGTTATGACGTCACATTTGATATCCCAGCCCTCGAGTATTTAATTATGACCTCACAATCGTTGCCCGAGCCCCTAAGGTATTGAGAGTATTGCATCGCTGATTTCTGATTTCCTTGGTTTTTCTGACATTTTAAAATATTTTCAAACATTATACATGCGTATAAACATCTGTTTTATAACATCATGAAATGTGACAGGTTGTCGTTCTGTCGTTCTGTGTTGTTGTGACGTTTTAAATGGACGCCATATAAATCAGTGGAAGTTTAATTGTGTTGTTTTGTTACGTATATCATAAACAACAACGAGTTGACCAATGCATATGTATACACTTGTTATCGCCAAACAGGAAATAACGATCATTGAATTCCTTTTCCGTTCATAAATTTGTCTTTTTTGCTTTTTCGTATCAGAACATGCATTTGAAATTCTCGATATGCAATCTAGTTTTACTTTTCAGTCGATGTACACGCAAGTCGAACGACCTCCAAATTAAGTACTTTACTAAACATACGGATAATGAACCATAACCTACTACCTAACAACAAAAACCTTGATCTTCGTTTCATATTTCCTCCCTTTATGTCTCTTTTTCATTTACATATTACATAACTATCATATCTACAAAACCAAATCACTTACCTTTTTTTTGTTCCTTGTTCTAACATTGTCCCTTCTGTCAATATCCTGCCCGGGCGCCTTCGTCCCCCAGATCTTGAAGGCGATACGAAAGTATGAGAAGTTGATGATGATTAGTGGAATCAGGTATTGAACGACCAGCAAATACATATAATAATATCTCCCAAAAATTTTTGACGGCCATTTTGGATTACAAAATAGTATTTTGTCTCCTTTTGGGGTAAAGTTCAACCCGACCCGGAAGTGCACAGCCATCGGTAAACTGGACGATATTCCAACCAACCAAATTACCGCCAATACGACGGCAGCGACTCGTTTCTTAAATCCGGCTTTCAGAGGGTAGATGACGGCGATGTATCGATCTATAGCGATGACAGTTAACGTAAATACACTGACGTTGACACTGACGTTCGTTACAAACGGAGCAAGCTTGCACATGAAATAAGGCAGTACCCAGCGTTGTAAAAGGGCCGCCTGGAACTGAAACGGAATGGAAAACAGACCAATAATAACATCTGCCAGGGCAAGATTGGCGATGAAGATATTTGTCACTGTTTGCATCTTCTTGTTAGCCATGATGACGTAGATGACAATGCCATTACCAATAACGGCAAAGAGGGAAATGGATCCGTAAAGGAAAGCTAGCAGGACAATGAGTCCGACTGGAACGTAATACAGTTCTACCTGTCCCGTGGAGTTCCAAGATTTGTTGGAAGCATCCGGATAAAAGTGATAGGTCTCGTTCCAGACAGAGATATTATAACTATCATAAGCGTCGTAGTCGAAATTTCCAAGAAGATCCATGTCACCGGTGTGTCAGATTCTTTACCGGTAAGCTTCCCTTCACCCAAATATCCTCATCAAGAAATGGAAATAGCTTTGTTAAATAAAACAAAAAACAGTAAAAGAATCCCGGACCTATCCTTGATACAGAGATCAAATTATAAAGACGTAAAGTGAGAATATGTTAGTTGTAATAGTGATTTTCCACAATTAAATAGTTGATTAATAATCATAGACATATATGTACCCGGATGTATAATTAGTAATCAAAGATATCATTGACAATGCACAAATGAAAATATCCACACATAATATATATCTCCTTTTAAAAAAACTGGATACTTGTCAACGTCGCAAAACCTGCTCCCTTCTTTCACCGTGTAACTCCGATATGACAGAATGGACTGAAGTTTTGTACTCCAAAAAGAAATACGAGCACTACTTTCTACACACTTCTGACACCAGTCGTAAAGACATGTACTCGAAACAGTGTTTAAAACTTAATTCCATGAGGACGCGTCCACTATGTGATGTAGCATACGAAATCCTTTAAGGTATTGGAGCGGGTCCACGTATCGCGCGCACAGACATCGTTGGTGTCTGTTGCTGTGTGGAATCACGGCACTGCTGCTGCTGCTGCTGCTGAGAATCATACCGTAACGGAGCTATCCGTGTCACTGGTGACAGAGGATCGATCTCGGTGACAGTGTTGTATCTCTATCAGATAGGTAGTACTGGGGTTGACATCTGTAACACTGTGTATACTAGATTTTCTAAATCAAACAGACACGGGTGAATGTGTATACTTTGTTAGAGTTGGAAAATAACAGATGTGGTAAATGCGTTTAAAAAATCATATATGTCCTAGCAGGAGTCAAAATCACACACCTTTGATACATTTAGTTCTATCCTTGTCTTTGTTATCTTCGGGGGAGATAATACTAATTAACAATAAACCTGTAAACTGTCTTCTTCAAACCCCAGCAAAGTCATGTGCTCCATGGATATACACATTTAAAAGTTTAAAATTTACTGTAAAATACTGCCTCTAAATTATCTTTGTAGTTGGTATACCTAGGACCAGAAATGTCGCGAGTCAGACAATTAAGGTATAAATTAAAGGGACATCCCGTAAAAAACTAATATAGCAATTTATGTTCCCACTTTGAAACCAAGAAATATAATTGTATTCAAGTCCGTGTCGAAACTGGTCAAATCACACGTACAGTTATTATTTATCGTCATTAGTTAATTGTGCACCTGCCAATTCGTATAGGCCAATGTTCATGTTATCACATCTATCGCTGTTCATACAATTACTAGAAAGACAATTAAAAAATAATATGTGAATTTCACACATCAAACTGTAAACTTTGGTACACATATAGATATTACTGATCATTTTGTTAAACCTAACATAATTGTATTGCATAATGAGTGTGGTTACAGCTTGCTTATCATGGTTTGTTTGGTATCTGTCTATTGCAGTATTGTATGATGGGATTGTAACACTGTCTATTATACCTTTGTAATAGTATATGGTATGATGAGTATGATAGTCATTATTATGCCATGGTATGATTGCACTGTATGGTGTGATATACTATCTATATTATATGTAGCATGGAGTGCGAGTAATATATGTGTAATACTGTAATAATATTATTGTAGGATTGTACTGTAAGATGGATGCAACAGTGCCTGCTATACCACTGTGTGAACGCACGGTATGTGTGAATGTAATGCTATGTATTATACCCTCGTAATAGTATTGTAAAATGAGTGTAATAATGTATATTACAGTGTATGATGAGTGTCATTGTATGAGCAGTGCGTTATATTGTCTATTATAATAAGGTATGATAGTAGTGTAATATTGTGTTTATCATTGTATGAGGAGTGTAATAGTTTCCACTATATTATTGTACGCTAGCATAATAAGGTGAGTGCTTTACGGTCAACCATATCATTGTCATATTGTACTTTATGATGACCTCTTGTTGCGCATAAAAGTGTGCCTGAGTAATAATAAAAAATCTCTGAAATCTCTGAATCTCTGGTATGAACGCAAATCTGTTACATACATAATTACCATGAAGCCCTATCTCATAGAATATGTATGTAACCGATTTGCGCTCATACAAGCATGAAATTGAACAAATGCAGTTAAATTCTATAAAAACATGTTTGGAAAATGCATTATTAAAATCTCTATGAGTGCTGATTTTCCTTTAAACTATTCATTCAAGACCATGTAATATATGTATGCCTGCTACCCTTTTTTCATACTCTATTCACACTAAGTAAGTACATGTATTTTGAGTCATAACACACAATACACGTTTCTGGAAATCCAAAACATACTGAGTTTGTATCATGTGTTTTTATGACGAAATAACTTTTTTTTTAACCTTTTTTTTAGTTATTTTCTATTCTCTTGTGGTGGGACATTTAGGCATTGAACTGTTACCAGATGCAGTATACAGTCGATATAAATGCAATTTGGGTGACAGATAAATATTCATATTAACGGGCGACATTCTATTTATCTGTCACCCAAATTGAGTTCATATCGACTGTATACTGCATCTGGTAACAGTTCAATGCTTATATTTACATTAACATTTATATAGTTTGTTTTGTATAGTAACTGAAGCAAAAACACGTTTGAATTTCCCGCTTATCATATCAGTGACGTCAGTAAGTTCAAATCCCAGAACAGCCGTCCAGAAGAAATAATATAGTCCCTCGTGTCATTGCAAATCACACGCACATAAAATAGTTTGAACACAAACTTAACTTTATTATTTATTTTATATGAGTGTGTATACATGTATGTTGAAAAAAAGGTTAATAATTGCATAACTTCTCCTTGTTTAAAATTAAAGCTGTTTTTCGCGCATTGATTGGAAGTGATGCGGCGCTGAACGGACTTGATTGTTTCCTCGGAAACGCTTATGTTTCTATCGACTGGAATATTACGTTATTTTCAGAAGTATATATACTCGGAAATTTTATTTAAGTGGTCCTTTCAGTAGGTGATAACGATTCCAAGGACGTTCAAAACAGATTCCATGTCTAATCGGTCAGATTAGCATCGCTAGCAGACGACGTTCACAGGGGCTCGGTTTCGTGATTTTGAGTAATGAATGACATCACTAAAGAACCACAACACTTAAAAAGGTATTTATACACATTCTAGAATCTTGTCGATACCCTCGACTTTTTTAAGGTTTTATAAATGCTGAATTTTAGTGCTGTGGGTATTCACAGATGTTATGCATAACTCAAAATCTCGAAACCGAGCCCCTGTGTGATGACGTTGACAAACTTGGTAATTTCGTATCTAGAATGGCGCTTACAATAGTTTTGTGGTACCTACACATCTTATAATAGATTTATATTGTCATAATTTCCCAAGTTGCTTTATTTTTCAATACTCGTCTGAGCACGTTAATTAACCATGCATGTAGTTGTTACTTGGCTATGCATTCAACATCTGTATCATGTTTAAACATTAACTGTTACATTACAAACCAAAGGTTTAAAAGTATGTTTGTTATATATGTATGTATAACGTGACGTGATCCGATTGTTGGTCCTTCCTCCTCGGGTATAATTATCCTGAACCGTAATTTTGATATTCCTACACCATCATGTGAATTAAATTTGCTCCTTTAAAAAAAAACTACCTATAAACTGGGTCCGGAAAAAACATAACATAGTGTGTGTTATACGTCATAGCCTCACTATTTACAGTGACCTTGGAATGTAGATTTCATCACAAAATTATCACACGGAGCCTCATTACAATATCATACAAACCAGTTGCCTAACTTATCTCTTTCTTTCGCATCAAGTATATGGAAATACATCGTAAACAATTCGATACATGTCCATTTTCATTCATAACAAATTATCTTCATCCGTGTTTCAAAGACAAATATACTAGCCACGTAAACGCTTTTAAATACTTATTCACAACATAAACACGGCTGCGCTCGATTCCACGTCAGCTTTGTTCAGCTTCCCACCAGTTCAGATTGCTAGGGCTTTTCATGATTATTCCGATCTGCAATAATGCTTTCCGAACATAATCCCTGCAGCATGATTTGGCCATTTCGGGACTCTTCGCTTCGTTGCTGACCCGGTAACTGTTTTCACTTGTTTACAATGAAGTGGTATCATATATGCGCATGCGCTATCAGAAACTGTATAAAATGTATGGTCAGACAGGAGAAGGGATCCCCTCTTCAATTCTTAATTATACATTTTTATGAATATTTATCTGCAAAATCAGACCGTCGTTTTCCGTAAGGAGACTCACTTGATATATTTATGCAGTATTAAAACAGACATTAACAACGTACTTCATCGTAATGTAGCTTTAAACCAAAACTCTGAGAAGTAAAGGTGAAATATACCAAGAGATTACCACAAGTCTAATCTGTTTACCACGCTAACAAAACTCTGAAAAGTAAAGGTCAGATATACCAAGAGATTACCACAAGTCTAATATTTTTACCACGCTAACAAAACTCTGAGAAGTAAAGGTCAAATACACCAAGAGATTACCACAAGTCTAATCTTTTTACCACGCTAACAAACACTGAGAAGTAAAGGTGAAATATACCAAGAGATTACCACAAGTCTAATTTTTTACCACGCTAACAAACACTGAGAAGTAAAGGTAAAATATACCAAGAGATTACCACAAGTCTAATCTGTTTACCACGCTAACACGGCATTTACAATACAACCAACGTTTACCGAAGTGGTCACTTTCGGAAAGAAACCAAGATGGCGAGCGAGGTAGGTCATGCTGTTGCACGTGTCAGTGTTTACATGTGTTTAATAATTGTTTTAACCGTGTATGCACTGTCAAATCTCACTCTTTTTAGTACAGTTGGCATGTTTACGATACAGGAAGAATACATTTCAAAGCCTGAAATGATAGCTTAGCAGATTCAATGGAAGTTATCGAGCAACTAACCCGTATGCACAGCCCAGGCACGCGTAAT